CCATTTACACATTTTTGGAAAGCAGATACCACAACACACGTACATTCACAAAAGTAAACGATCAGTCAGCACTACAGAGTTGTGTAAAGTATATGCCAGCACAGTGTATGTTTAGTATCTGCCTGCCAGTCTATCACACAGTCTTCCTGCACTGACAGATCCTTTACTTTTTATGAATGAACAATCAGTACTGTCAGGGCTTTGTGTTAGATCTGGTGCACTGTATGTGTTTTAGCAGCCAGCTTCTAGCATGCTTTTATGAATGAACAATCAGCGCTGGTGGGGCTGTATCATAGATCTGCCTGCTGCGAGTAAGTATACACTGCATTGGCAGACTTACCACACAGCCCTGATTGCGCTGACTGTTCATTCATAATAGTGACTGATCAGTCAGTGATGTGAGCTGCCAGCTGATGATAAACATCTACTGCGCTAGCAGATAGATCACACAGCCCCACAGAGATGAATGATCTTTTACTATAATATATAAATAGTCACCACTGTCTGCGTTGTGTGATCTATCTTCCAGTGCAATGTATGTTTACTAGCAGCCAGCAGCTCTATCACATAGCCCTGCAGCACTAACTGTTCATTCATCATAATAAAAGTTCAGCCAGCTTAGAGAGGAGGAGGGGATTCTGCTGCGCTGTAGCTCCCCATAGGAATGCTGAAAAATTGGGTTTCAACCTGGGGTGGAGCAAAAACACAGCAGTGATTTCCTAGCCCACAGTCTTAGCATGAAACTTAAATAGAGAACAATCAGCACAAAAAAATGCCACCATACAATTAGAACTAATGAAAGTGTCCATAAAGTCCAATGTAAGGTTACAAAAACTCCATATAGCACTAGGGCAAACCTCCTATAATGGTAGTAGCAGAACTCTGTGTAAATTAGAGAAGAGAAGAAGCGCCTCTAAGTGCAGTGTAGGTAACTTTAATGGGTAACAAATGTAGAACAACTCACATATAGCATGTATAAAGCAGGGCTGTGTAAAGCAGGCTCAAGAAGATGGGAGAATAGCTGCGTCTGCGCTCAGAGGATCATGGATGTAGGAGAGAAGGTGGCCGACGTGTGGCGTCTCCTAAAGATGGTGTCTGGAACGCACGTTGAGGCATGATGTCGACATCAACGTGATGACATACATGGACCGTCATGCATAGTGACGCATTACGGAGCATGCACTAGACCTCTAAGGGTGGAAACGCGCTCCCTTATCAAGCTCGAGCTCCGAAACGCGTCGCTATGCATGCTGGTCCATGTACGTCATCACGGCCTCAACGTGCGTTCCAGACGCTATCTTTAGGAGACTCCACACGGCTTCTACATCCACGATTCTCTGAGCGCAGACGTGGCTGTCAAAGCACGGACACAGCCGTTCTCCCATCTTCTTGAGCCTGCTTTACACGAGCCTGCTTTATACATGCTATATGTGAGTTGTTCTACATTTATTACCCATGAAAGTTACCTATACTGCACTTAGAGGCACTTCTTCTCTTCTCTTTTTTACACAGTCTTACCATGAACAAGTGCTATGTTCACTGGGTCCCTTGGGGGATTCAACAAGAGGTTTCACCTTCTGGTGATAATTCGTCTGTAGCTATATGCAAAAAATGTCTCACATTTTAATTTTCTAACACATAATAAGCCCGCAAATTCACTTATCCTTCACAACAAGACAAAACCATTTTGTTTCACAAATTACCAAGATTTTTTTTTAAGAAACAGTAAATTTCACAGTTCAGTCTTCCCACGTCTTTTAAGCATTTGCTTATCAATAATTTCCCTCAATAAAATTCCTTACATTCCAAAGTGCAAACTCCTGCTAATTGCTTTGGTGATAATTTGGAGGCTACAGCTACAGCTTAGCATATTTCACTTAAGTATTCCAACCCTCTGTGTGTGAACTTAGACTTAGGATTTACCATACAAAAACAAAAGTGCTCTCTATTACTCAACCATCCATGTCCATGGCAGTGATCAATTTTTACCATCCAAGTGGAACAGGAAGCATTTTTATTTCTGCTTCTTATATTATCTGTCCCCATAGCTTTTTAACACAACATACAAGGAACTTAATTTGTGTAATAAATATTGTGCAACTGATATTCTATCAGTATTGTCAAATATCCAACTGACACAATATTTAACAAAAACAGAATAAAATTGCTGAGTTCCAAGCATGTCCTCAAAATATCCCACATGATGTTACAGTTAACACCAGCTTAAAGTGAAACTCTTGGCTCAAATCATAGTTTCAACAACTCAATTTTCGTATAGACCAGAGGTGCTCAACCTGTGGCCCTTGGAGCCCTCTGATGTGGCCTTCAACCTCAAATCAGGGAAGCGTATGCCTGAGGTCGCCCACCCGTTGACCTCGATCTGGGATTGGTGACCCGCCATCCCAGAGCTTCAGAGTGCTGGCAGCAGAGGAAGCAGGCAGCCAGGAAAAGAGCAGGATCTGCATAAGCTGCTACTTCCTCTGTAGCACCGGCTCCTGTCCCAGGCAGCGTGATACAAAGTGCACTTCACCTGGCACCTTTCCAGCAGCTGGAAAGCAATGCTAGCTAAAGCTGGAAGAGGAAAAAACTGCCAGTGTATACAATACATACACTTTTGCAATGGGCATATTAGCACCTATATAAGGGTTAATAACTATTAGGCTGCTTTCACACTGATCCGCAGGTGCAGCACAGCGCACCTATGGGTTTCCTGTGGGTTAGCTGCACTCAGCTATAGATTTTATTATATCCTGCAGGTTTGATGCTCTTTCTGAAAGGGTAAAAAAATTTCTGAATGCAGAAAGTGCACCACAGACAAAGCCGCAAGTGCGCTGCGTTGCACCCGCGTTATGGGTAAACCACAGCGCATCAGTGTGAAAGCAGCCTTAGGGACTCAGGACAGTAAGGGTTCACTTACATTTGTGGTTAGTGTTTTCACCACACCCTCTCAACCACTGGTGTAACTGCAGGGGCCGCAATAGTGACCCGCAATGGTGACCCTGCCACATTTTGTTTTACTCTTGTACAGGAGGGGCGGCATATACAGGAACCAATCCTTTCTATTTTCCTTCTACAACTGCTGAAAGCTGGCTTCTCCTACCATTCTGCCGGCATTCAGTGGCTATAGGAGGAAAATGTTCATTAAGCTATTCAAAATAAAAAAATTTAAATGCTGAACCATTTCGCCGTGGCCCATGAGTGGTTAGCAAATCACTTAAGTGGCCCTCCCTTCAAAAGGTTGAGCACACCTGGCATACACAAATGTTCAACATTACGTGTTATAGCTAGTTTTGTTGTTACTGACATTGCTGCTTTCCCACTAATGCTTGGCAGCCAATAATCCTGGTTCCTGATCATAGTGGGCACAAGGAAAAAAAACATGCAAAAAGGAAACCTGAGGCTGGGCTTTAGTCCTCATGCACACTGGATGTTTTGATAACGCTGGTGACGTTAGCTGTGTAAAGTCACATTAAAAACAGCTTTTTTTAGCGTTTTTGCATTAGCGGTTTGCCGCGTTTAGCAGCGTTTTCCCACGTTTGCGGTTTTTAAGCAGTTTTTTTTTACCAAAATGTTTTTTTTTTTGGTCAAAAAGCCATCCAAAAATGCCAGTTTTGTGGCATTTTACAACGTTTTGCCACATTTTTCAGCTGTAGAGCGTTTTTACAGCTAAAAAAAACTCTTCTAAAACCCACTAGTTCTGGGGTTTTTTTCCAGCCAAAAAACGTTGCAGCCAAAAAATGTTGATTACAGTCTATGTGTGCATGGACACATAGGATAACATGCTGGGGGGTTTACTAGCTGTAGAAAAAAACATCAAAACCCAAAAACAGCAGCTGTAAAAATGTTGAGTGTGCATGAGGATTTAAAATCAACGTAAAAGGATTGAGATAGGCAGGTTAGTTACAGACTTATTGTCAAACTTGACATTTATGGTCATAATAGCAATGACTATATGTCTGCAAGCTATCCCCAACCTTAACAGCTTTATATGGGCTGAACTTTGTTAGAAGGATCTATTGGCTGGGTTGTACTTTCTTTGACAGTCATTATTATTTTCCTGAGATAAGCTATTGCAAGTGATATCTTCTGAGTGCTTCCCTTCCTCCCTACGTTATCTGATAAAATGCACATTCAGCCAATCTGGGCATGCGTGTGTGTAGAGTTTTTGTACTTCCATACACCATCTAATGTCTGTAGGTAGCTTTAGATTGGGAGCACTTTGCAGTACTCTTCCTCTCCCACTCTGAATACTGCTGTTCAGAAGTTTATGGGAAACTAAAAAAAATGACAGATTTCGGTATTTATTTTAGCTGTATTTAAAACTACATTTTAGCTGTATTTAAAACTACATTTAGGAATATATAACTGGATTAAATGATAATCTAAAAAAAATAAATAATAATAGGGGAAGAATTAGATGTCTATTGAATAAAAACAAAAACTAGGAAACCAACAATGAAAGAAAACTGTGAAAGTTAAATCAAAACTACTTTCATATAAACTTATAATAACTATCCATGTTATGTATTCAGTGAAAATACGCAATCCTTAAGCCTACTGAATCAGTGCCTAGAACAACAGTGACAATGTCACACCTGTGCAATTATGTTCATTTGGGCACACATTTACGTGAACACTGTCTGTGTGACTAAGTACCCATCCTTTGGAAGACTTACACAAGTCACATAGCTAAATTGGCATCACCTGGCACACACCCACTTTCCTTTTGTTTTTTTGATGACAAACATTCCTTTTCACCTTAACGCAGGTTTCATAGGCTTATCATACAATGTTGGAGTACAGAGGTTTGTTGTGATACTGATTAGCTTCCTCAGTTTAGGAAAGATCAGGTTATACATTGATGGCAAGGTAAGGGGCGGTGAGTCTCTGTGGGCTGGGTTTATTATTAACCCTACATCCAAGTCATACACCTGAGAGAGGAGAAAGAAGGACCGGTTGGCATATGAGAGCAGAGTGTTCCCTGGACTAAAGCAGAGAAGATGGATTTAACTCCAGCTAGTACCTCTGCTCCCTCTGAGGACACCATTCCAATTAATAACCCAGCAGACATCTCCGTGATTGTGATCTATTTTGTAGTGGTGCTGGCTGTAGGAATATGGGTAAGTGTTGTATTAATTTGGGGACTGATACTGATAATCTGTATAGGTATTGATACTTTGCATGAAATAGATATACATTATATCCACTGCAATTAAGCTTTTGCAAACTCATACCTTAACAGTATGTCAATTACAACTAGTTGTTAGTTGAGAAAGTATAAGCATCAGCATATGCTGCCATTCTCTGAATGGTTTTGTAGTTCTTGAATATCTGTGGACTCAACTTGCTTTTTGAACAGTTCCTGCAGAGCTGACTTTCTTTTAAACTCAAAAGTAAAGTACAGTAACCTATAGCAACGAGCAAATATATTGCACTACCCTCACTAGTCTTAGCAAGGATAGTCTTAGGTGATGAAATATAAAGTGAATATTTATTGGGCTTTTAGTAATACAGATGAACTACTCTTGTACTTAATGAATGATCAGGGGCGGACTGAACATTCGAGCACTCGGGCACTGCCCGAGGGCCCGGGGTCAGTAGGGGGCCCCATGAAATGCCCCTGGTACCTTTTTTATAGGCTTTTTTGAGAGTGGGCAAGGACACAGGGGCCCCATGATCCCCTATTGCCCGGGGGCCCATGAGTTGTCAGTCCGCCCCTGTGAATGATTCATAGGGACATTAAGCTCAATTCACTAAGCCAGGGTTTCTCAACCAGGGTTTGATGGTCCCTAGGGTTCCTCCAGAGGTTGCTAGGGGTTCCTTGAACAATGAGCAATTTCTGCCTCTCAGAAAAGTTTCTCCTAACATCATTTATCTTTTTAGCTATCTGTAAAGGGCTAATTCTCCCCAGTAACCACAACTGTAAAGAGCATTAATCCCACTGTCCATCACACTAATGAATTATGAATTGTAGCTTTAGTGATTTTTAGCAGGGGTTCCCTCAGACAAGAAAGTTATTTCAAGGGTTCATCTGTGTTGAACAGTTTGAGAGGCTGCATTAAGCTATAAAAAATGTGCTTTTTTCAATTGTATCTATTATTTACAGCTATGCAACTGTTATTTATCTCTCATTGGCTCACTTAGCCTAAATACATTTTTTTTGTAAAAAAAAATGATAGTCATAGCTTCGTAAGTCGAACTTTATTTCATTGGTTTCAACCAAAATGTATTAATTTGTATTGTGCATCATGTCAATCTACCTCTTTACTGTGAAAGGATCAGTATATGCATAACAAAATAAATTACCCTCTGATAAAATATATATTTAGCAATCATTAGGGAAGATATCTTGACTGTTCACATCTTATGTATGGTCGGAACTTAGCAATGAAAGTCACAACTTTTTCCTGAGCTAAATGCTGTCATTCTGGCTAAATATCAACTAAACAACTATACCTTAGCAAGCTTTTCAACTTTTGCAAATTTGTTTGAGGTACCTTATCAATCCTGTAAACAATATAAGAAGAGCAGTTTATGTAGTAATTCAATTCAGTGATTTGGGATGCAAAATTAACATTGGTAATGGTGATGGGTGGAGAGGCATGTCCAAGTTGATGATGTCCAGCAAATGCATGTGAAGGCGGGCAAAGTAGGACCAAATGCAAAGGCTCCTCCATGGAAACATTAACAAACAACTGTGTGAATGTCAAAGTCAAAAGGCAGGCAGATGTAATGTTCACCATAATACTAAGACCAGGGTCACTTTTTAAAGGACAGAAAATCTGAATGCGTGGTACATGATCCAATAAGCAATGAATGGCATATGTGCTTTATAACCATAGCAAAACTCCCAAAGAGATTAGCACATCAATTCATTGAATAATATGCCCCCATGAAAAGTGTATCTAATTTTCAAGAAAAATAGACAGATTTAAAAAATATTTTGCCCAAATGAGGAGCTAGGTGGTTAACATACTAAAATCTGATTGTATATTACAGGCTATGGTAAGGACAAGTCGTGGCACTGTAGGAGGTTTCTTCCTGGCTGGGCGCAGCATGGTGTGGTGGCCAGTAAGTATTCTAATGTGTTAACGAATGTAGATAGCCACAGTGGCTCTGGCTAACATATATGGTCTTAAATCATGGGCTGGCAAGGTAAATTAGCCTATACGCTTAGTTTCTACTTAGATAAATATGATGATGTGTAAATTCACAGGTATGACTGAATCTAAATGCATCAATGCTGTATTGTAGGGCACCATAGCTCTGAGGTGTATTAATGTCAACACATAGGGCACCAACACGAAGTTGAGTAGTACCTAATGTGGGTTAGCTGCATTGCATCTTACCTTCCTAAAGATCCTGAAAACCAATCCTATAATATTGTTGACACTTGACAACACATTGACTAAAAGGTGTTATAATTTGAAGTCACTGTATCATTGTATATTTAGCATTTTAAATAAATGAATGGGCTGTTTTAGCACATTGGAAGTGAGCTCAAGGAGTTCCACTTGAAATATATTACGCCATCTCACTTATACTGAGATTTGTTCTGTAGCTTGGAATGTCAGCTCACATGTAAGCTATCAGGAATTATGGGTGTTTTGTGCTCATATCTGCTTTAAAGCAAAGATGAAGTGAGAAGGCAAATAATTAAAATGGCATTTAAATACCAACTACACCCAAAATGATGTTTTGCGTTTTTAAATGGGAAATATTCAGTAGAGTCATCCCAATTTTAATAATGCATGATTCCATTTGCAATACTCAATAGTACATTCTGCATTAAGGAAAATCCACGAGGAAACGCATGTACTCATCATTTGACCTAGCAATGATCAACCAAGAAAAGTGATGTTCACGGTCTTATCTTTACAATTGCACTAGAGTGGAAAAGTTGCCTCCTGACAGCATGCTGCAGACAAGGACCCTTGTTCTCTGGGTAGATGTCATGGTCTCTGTGCAGAGATCAAACACACCCTCTGTTGAGTCAGACCCTTAGCATAGAAATCAGCAAAGCTTAACTCCTCACTGATTGGAGAACTCTAGCTCTGCAGACCCCTGCACAGAGACCGCTGCTTTCATGCAGAGAGTTCTTTTCTGCAGCATGCTGACAGAGAACAGGCTACTTAGGCTATAGTTGTGTTCTAAAGGAAATTAACTTGGAACACCTTTTTATTGTGAAGCACCTGGATTGAATTAAGTTCATTTAAACTGAAAGATCATTTTTAAAGGAAAACTTAAATCAAATATTTAAAATGCCCTTTTGTGCAATTTGTTAAATCTGTAAGACTTGTGTAGCACTACCCCCTTAGGAGTTGCTGAAAGTCCTGCACAGCCAGGCATCACGCATCTTCACACAGGCTTGCATTCAGAGTCAGAGATCAGTCCTTGAGCTTTGGTTTTGTTGTTTTTTTTAGGGAATTTGAACTGGGATATGGTTAGGGGTGTACAGGATGCCCAAGGAAACTGGTAAACTGAGGACAACTTCCTGGAACTGTTTACAAGCCTTCTCTGCAGCACAGTCTTTGTTGCAGAGCTAGTCAGTGTCTCCTTAGTGTATCACCCCAGACCCTATATGAACTTTTCCTCTTTACCCAGCAATCTGGAGGTATCCTTGAACAGGGGATCTGGTTCTGTCTTTTTAAGAGTTGAACAGTCACTAGTAGGGGGCTAATCTGGTTTGCCAACAGAGTGCTCCTTCCCCTATCTGCCCAGGGGTGTAGGTGTACTCACTCAGATCCTCTCCTTTACAGCTTGTGGGTTGTTGGCTGCTACCAGGCCTATCAGCTGGGCTGCTCCTTCCTTTCCATACAGGTGGTCCTCTCTCAGGGGGCTAGTGAGCTCTGAGCCTTCCTCCTTTCCAGCTCCAGACCTGCATATAGGCCCCATCCCACTGGGCCTCCTCACAGGCTCCTTCCTTCAGCCTCACATCTTCCTCCCTATCTTCCCCCTGAACTCTCCTGCTGCTGAGCAGGCTTACTTACTTTTAAGGGTTGTCCTGGTCCCTTGCCAACCTCCTGCTTGGGAATGGCCAGGATCGCTTAAGAGTATAAGCCAGCCACTCCTCAGATCCATGCACTGCTTCTAGACCTTTCTTTGAAGATCTAGAGCAAGGGGAAATTCCAGAGGGCTGGTCTGCAGAGCCTTCCAGCTCCTGACCCAAATTTACCCTTTTGACCCTTGCACCTGGCCTGCTACTCAGCCTCTGACTGTCAATCAGGTCTCTAGCTCCCCTAGCTAAATATATGGAGAGTGCTATACTTTTTTTAATTTAGCTGTGTAATTGTTTCATCTGTGTATTTAGCTGATTGACTGATATTACGGTGCATAAATGGCCAATATCACAAAACCAATAAGGTATTGAGGCACCTCACAGGGCTTGATTTACTAAAGGCAAATAGGCTGTTCACATTGCAATGTAAGTTGCATTTTGCATAGAAATTTTCCCCAGAATGTAGTGAATGCGGTGAAATTTCATTTTGAAAACAATACCCAATTATGTGCAAGGAAAATAAAAAACAGTTTTTGCTCGAACCTTATTTAAAGCGGAACTCTCTCAATCGACACTAGCTATTTTTAATCCTTACGCTGCTAGGATTAATAAATAGGTAGGGAAATATATCATATTAACTTTTTTTTTACATTTCTTCAGTTACTTCCTGGTTTCCAGGCCTAGGCAAATGATGTCATACATACCAGGAGTCTTCAGGAGGGTAGGAGGGGTTTTCTTAACTAAGCACACCCTCCCATCTGCATGTTTGTGCTAAGGGCAGATGGATTCCAGGAAGCAAACGCTACATGAATCATCTGCCTTTACTCAAGTTGGCTACAGCCAAAAATTCTAGGGGGTGTTTTTCAAAGTGATTTCTTAGCAAAATAAAGTATGGGGTCTTGGAGAGATGGAAGAGTTTGCTTTGAATATTAAAAATGAATTAAATAGCACTTTTGGTTTGTGGTGCTCAGAAGCAGTGTAGTTCTGATTTAATGATGGGAGTCAGCACATATTCTTTTCATTTATTAAGTTGTGCAGAAAAGTTTGTTGTACGCTGCATCTTCCCTTGCAAAGTGAACAGCATATAGCTTTTTAATTATGAACTTATTTCTGTTGCATTAAAAGAAAACAGTATGGAATAAAATGAAATATCACATTTTTATTTTCCATTTTTATTGCATTGTTTTCTAGCCTATACACAAATACTGTAGCTGCAAAAACATTGTAAAGCTATCATTTTTGGATTCTGTAGTAATTTCCTTGGGTGTGCATAAGTCAATGCAGTTTGTGTAGTGTAGTGAAGAACTATTTGAACAGGATGAAGAGCTCGCAGTTAAAATAAAAGGGTTTGAGGAGAGAGAGAGGTGCGCCAGACTGAGTGTAGTAAGTTAGTAACAGTTTATTGCACACAAGAAAAAAAACTCACAAGACGTGGGTATATATCAGGCATCAGGTATAAGAGGGAGGACGTCATCTAAGCTGCACATCATGGGCAGATGGCTGCAGTGCCAGGGTTCTCACAGTGGCTGGCGCTCTAGGCGGGTCCCAAAAGGAGGAGCGAGGACGGCAGGCGCAGTTACCGGGAGTCGCGGTGCAGGGAAGAACCGTGCTCAGGGCGGGCGCTGCTGGTCTCTCACATCAGCGTGGGTAGTGGAGCCAGCTTGAGGCGCATCCAAGATGGCCGCCGAGCGGAAGTGACGTCAAGATGTTGCTGGGAGTCATCCGAGGGGCGGCGGTGACGTGTTTAAGGCAACCAGCCTTTTCATCAGACCTGAAAGGGTTTTCAGCTTGCAAAATTCCTCTGAAAGAACAAACCCTGGCAAGATATATCTACAGTTTATCTATCTATCTATCTATCTATCTATCTATCTATGCCATGTCTATTTCTCTGTCTGTCAGAGGGAGATAGGCAGGCCATAGACGGGCTGTTTATCGGCCAAATTTTCGGCCGATAAACGAAAAATCGGTCGACCCCGTTGCCAATTCTACCACCCATGTCCACGAAAAACGGCCGTTTTTTTTGCGGACTTTCCAGCATGACTGATAAAAATAAATGAGGAGATCCGCGAAAAACGGTTGACAGGCTGGCCCCACTAACGGCGTGATTATTGGCCAATTTTCATTGCTTACGAAAATTCGGCTGATAAATGACCCGTCTATGGCCTGCATTAGAGAGAGGTAGAGAGGGAGATAGACAGGTAGAGATGGAGGTAGAGAGGGAGATAGAGAGGTAGAGAGGGAGATAGAGTAGAGAAGGAGATAGAGAGGAAGAGAGAGAATTAGACAGGTAGAGAGGGAGGTAGAGAGGGAGATAGAGCGGTTGAGATTGCGATAGAGAGGTAGAGAGGGAGATAGAGAGGTAGAGAAGGAGATAGAGAGGGAGAGAGGGAATTAGACAGGTAGAGAGGGAGATAGACAGGTAGAGAGGGAGGTAGAGAGGGAGATAGAACAGTAGAGATTGCGATAGAGAGGTAGAGAGGGAGATAGAGAGGTAGAGAGGGAGATAGACAGGTAGAGAGGGAGGTAGAGAGGGAGATAGAGCGGTAGAGATTGCGATAGAGAGGGAGATAGAGAGGTAGAGAGGGAGATAGACAGGTAGAGAGGGAGATAGACAGGTAGAGAGGGAGGTAGAGAGGGAGATAGAACAGTAGAGATTGCGATAGAGAGGGAGATAGAGAGGTAGAGAGGGAGATAGACAGGTAGAGAGGGAGATAGAGAGGTAGAGATTGCAATAGAGAGATAGAGAAGGAGATAGAGAAGGAGATAGAGAGGTAGAGAGGGAGATAGAGAGGTAGAGAGATAGCAAATTTAGAGCATCAGCAACCTGTTTTTTTATGGGCCAAAATCTTTTCTACACTAGGATCTTCTGCAGTCTAGGTCCACTGCTCATTCTTTGCTTGACTCAAGAATATGGACTTCAATAGCCACAACCAATAATTCTTACTGATCGACCTGCAGATGCTTGAACAGTCAGATTTATTTGTATTGGGGAACATTGGACAAGAGTTCCTAGCTTTTAAAATGATAATGATAATTCCTACCGCTAAAACCCTCATTCACACTGGCACTGTCA